GATGATTGAATGGTTGATGGGTTGGCCAGCGGGTCTGAAATTGAATAGTGAGCTGGATAAATTCTTGGGTGAACTCTTTCTTTGGTCAATTGATTTATGGAAAGGTAAGTTAAATAAATTATTTACATAGAAAGTTTAATCTCTTACTTATTTCAATCTTGTTTATAGATTGCGTGATAACTATGGGCCCATTTATACCTGAGGTTCTTAGGATAATTGGATTATCTGGAACTTTAGGAGGGTCAATGGTTTTATCACTTCTATCCGACCTTTTATCCTTTCTGACATTGCACATTTATATCTTTTATATGGTTGCGGCAAAGATTTTTAATTGGCAGCTTACTATACTTTATTCCTTATTTAATTTATTTCAAGGCAAGGATTTAATATATATTTCATGTAATAAATTGTTTATTTTTTATGTTAACGGATTCTCATTCGATTTAGGAAAAAAATGGAACACCTTGCGAAAGAGAATTGATTCCTGCGATTATGATTTGGATCAATTACTTCTGGGAACAATTTTATTTACCTTATTAACATTTTTATTCCCCACTGTTGCAGTGTATTACGCCACTTTTGCAACTGTATGTACTAATTTTATATTACTATGTTTGTGAATAATACTTATTCATATTGATATTGACTATTCATCTAACTTCAGAGTCGTGTAGCAGTTATCTTCATAAAAGCTTTTATGGAAACACTACTAGCGTTTCTTAATCATTTTCCACTCTTTGCGATTATGCTGAGATTTAAAGATCCAGAACGACTACCAGGTAATGCAATTTAAACTACCGGTATTTGATGAATCTAATTAGTTTTGAAATTAATCATCCTATATATTTAGGTGGACTAAGGTTTGAATTATGCGATCCAGATTATTTTGCGTCTGGTGGAATCGCTAGAGTTGTTCGAGGAATTAAATCTATTTGGCCTTGGGCGAATCAATCTATCAAACAGGACATTCCTATAAAGAATGTACCTACTATTAATGTTGATGGTCCAAGTTCTCAATCTAGTGATTCTACAGTTGATGAATCTGATCAGATTATTAGATTAAGAAAAAGCCGAATGACTGCTGAAGTCAATGAAAAAAATATATCGTCATCTACACAGAGAATAAATCCTTCAACACCGCCAAAGTCAAGCTATCTATTTATGCAGGTAATTTTTACTTGTCTATTTGAGTCTTTAAACCAGTTATTGATGATGATCTTTTTTTTTTAAGAATTTACCGATACCACTATCGGCAATATTTTTTCAATACCTCCTACTATGGAAAATGCTGAGCTCTCATTATTTTTCACTGTATGAATCATGATCATGATTACATATCCTGTTATATTACTGGATTTAAGTGGTTGTATATTAAATAATTATTTGTTTCAGCTACGTATTGCGTTGCCTTGTTAGCGGAGAAGCTATTAAACACATAGCAAGGCTCCAATATCCTATGTTACCTGAAACTAGGTAAGCCTAAAATGTTAGCAATCCTATGTGCTTCCTATTATTTTCAAACCTTTAATTGGTATTTTCTTTTAAGCAGATCTAATTTAATGGATTTTTGGTTATTCCTCAAAATTAGCTTTACTGTACAAGATGAATAAAAATAGAGTTCCAATCCGGATAAATCCGTCATCCCTTTATCCGTATCTGGATTATCCGGATAATCTGACAAACTTGGATAATTATTCGGATATCCAGATAAATTCAGATCGGATACTTCGGATAACAAGATAACGGACATCTAATAATTATCCGGATAAACACTTAATAGATTGAAACCCTAAACGAAAAAAATAAAATAAATAATAATAATTTACTTAATTGACATACGTAATGTTAATCATGGTTATATGGTCACTTTGTAGTTGGTTCCGGTCCCAACGTCGAATTAAAGTGAGTAAATTAAGCATTGTCGCGGATCATAATTTAAAATGAAATCTACATTTTCTACTCAACCTGTTAACCTTCTAAAACCCACTTATACT